AGGAACCATGTCCCTCTTCTGGAATGTGCTCCTGGGACCCTGGAGTTCTTGCCAAGATAGAGACGAGCCTGATCCTAGGACCTGGAAGACTTTCTTCAGGTCTATAAACTTCAGTCCCAGGCTAGAGAACTAGGGTGAGAAGCCACTGTTCGGGGAATGGTATGGACAGAACTTGGACAAGAGAATCAGAGTGGTCTGTGGACATCTCCATCGGCTAATGCAGAATTCAGACAAATCTGAAAGTTACACATTCAAATTCTTCCTCTCGCTTGCGTTGAAGGCACAGTAGTCAGGCTGAGAGGGTAGAGCTATATTTAACAGTTTGTCAGCTGGCTTTATGACTTGTAAATATTCTAGCCTACAGTATGCGAGCTTCTATTACCGTCTTTGCCTAAGATCCATAAGTTAATAGGTGTGGGTTTGTTCACTGTGCAAAGAGGTATTAATGAAGCAAGTACACAAAGAGACATAAAACCAAATTGCACTTCCTAGTGCAGATACATCCTCTGGGCCTAAACTGCTCTTCTGGATCTCCACTTCCCAGAGTTCTCAGTGTACCTTGCAGGTTCCCCCTGAACCTTGTAAAACCCTTTATTCTATGGTTCAAAAACCCACCACACTGGCTAAAACCTTCCTCGTTATTCTTGCTCCCTACGAACAAAGGTCTCAGGAAGCTAGCCCCCAAAGAACAAGAAAGGCACCCAAGTCTGTTAAATTCCTCTAGACCTGTTTCCTGCTTTTCATTAAATCCAAAACATGCACCTCCTCCCTACCCTGCTCCGGACTGCATCCTTAGCCCTTAGCCCCGCCTCCAAGCATTCCACAGCTTCCCAGCCCAGCAGGTGGTTGCATCTCTGTGAAGGCACACTCTTCTCACATCTCTTCTGCTGCTTTCTATCTAGCCTCCACCTTTCAGCCTGAATCTGTTTCCTCTCACTTGGTCTTCAGCAGCAACAGAGAAGCCTTCCTGACTAATTGGGGGAAAAGTAGCAAACCCCCCCCACCACCACCACCTACCGTCCTCCATACCTGTCTTTCTGAATAGGTATCCAACCCACTGGCTGTTTTTAAATCTGCCTCTTTCTTGTTCGGATAATAACGAAATTCACTCAGGTTCATCTGCTGTGTGTTCTTGATCTCTGTCAGGTCCTGTGATGTCTGGGTTAGATTGTGACATCCCAGAAGACAGGGCCACATCTAACGTGTGTCTGTAGGCCCTGCTCAGCAAAGCAGCAGGCCTAGCTGGCCCTTAATAAAGACTTTGGTGTTGGAAACAGAGGAACAGCACTCTGTGCCTAGAGCATTGTGTGTGCAGGATAAGCCATCCACGACTGGCCCAGCCCTCCTGCTAGCCTATGAGCTGGAGCACGCTTTAACAAAAGCAAGTGAGCGCGATAATAACAATAACAGAAAATTGTCACAGCTGCTCATGTAATATTGACCGACTTGGTGTTCAGAGTCATCCTACAAAGCAGGGGCTGCCATTATTTTACAAATGAGGAATCTGAGGCACCGTTAGGTCATGTAACTAGTTCATCACTCCAACTAGGGCCTTCTGGCTTCAGGCAGCCTCAGCTTAACCAACCATGGTGCACTGTCCTTCTAGGAGGATTGGACGGCATTAGCCGCAAGTAGAGAGTGAGGGGATATGCAAAAGCCCCTGCCATACACTCTCAGGGGGCTTTGAACACGGTCTTATATGAAGGAATGACTGAGAAGAGAAGAGAATGGCTACTCAGGAACTTTCTAGCATGGAGCCAACAGGTTCTCAAAGCATTTGTTCACACCTCACCCTTCCTTCTCCTCCCAGAACCCCTCCTCTGTTTCTCAAACATTCTAAGTCTGCTTACACTTGCATGATTGAGTTAGTTGTTTCATGCAGCCAGACTGCTTTCCCCAGATCTGTACCTGCTCCTCATCGCTTAGGTGCCAGCTTGGATGGAACATTCTTAGGAAGGCTCTTCCTGTTCACCCAATCGGATGTGGATGTCCTTGTCTCATCCCTTCCATTTCATTCATGGTTAACTCATTTTTGTTTTTGTGTAGGGCCTTGTCTGCCTTGTCTTCACCATGGTTCTCCATCTGGAATCACCTTGCTCATCTGCTAGTTCACTTGCCCTTTGCTGTGTCCCCACTGGAAGGCCAGCTTCAAGACAGCAGAGATCTCCCCTGCTTTTGTTTACTCAGTACTGGAGCCATAGCACCCTGTGGCTTTTAACCATTTGCCACATTAGTGCATGAGTGAATGGGTGAAAGTCCTTTGTGGAAACCTGCAAATGTGAACCTAACGGGTTTGAATCCCCTCCCAGAACCCTTCACTACGTCACTCCAAGCACTTTGCAAGAAGAGACCAAATCTTTATTTTTGTCAGTCTTTTGGATCCTAGAGTACTGACAAATGAGAGCATGGTATGTGGGAGGGTAAGTTTTTGGTTCCTTTGTCTGGACAGGAAAAAAAAACCAAGCCACTCAGCTATTCAGATCACTGCTCTCCTAAACCAGGGAGAGACAACTGATTGACAATGTGCTCTCTCTGTCTCTCTGTCTCTCAACAGAACTGAAACACAGAAATCTCCACCTGACCACTTCTCCATCTCCCTCTCTCCTTTTCTATCCCCACCTCTTCTCGTTTCTCTTTCTCCAGAGTTCCCCCAGCTCCCTCCTTTGTCTTCCTTCCTCAATGAAATTCCGTAACAAAGGGTGAGAAGAAAGTGGGAAACCATGGCCCCCACATCTAGCACAACACCCACAGTTCTGTTACCACGATAACATGATTCCAGTAAAACCCCTTGGCTCCTACAACAAGTAAACCCTCCTAAACATGATAATCATTTTCCCCCTTTCTTCAAGACAAAGTTTCCCTGTGTAGCCCTGGTGGTCCTGGAACTCACTCTGTAGACCAGGCAGGCCTTGAACTCCAGAGATCTGCCTGCTTCTGCCTGCCAAGAGCTGGGTTTAAAGGCGTGTGCCACCACCGCCTGACCCATGATAATCATTTTTAAGAAGTGTTTTATTTGGTCCTATCTCAATGAAGACACAGCCCCTCACACATAATAAGAGATCCCATTCCTCTAGTGATGTTAGCTTTTTTATTCAGCATTCCATTTATAACATATAGTAAAGGTGATGAACAACAATAAAAGTTCCCAATCCTTGAGCAGATCTTGTGCCACGAGAGGGCATTTTAGAATATTACTAATGACCCCGCCCCCTTTTTTTTCCCTTTTCTAATAAAATGCAGCTTTTCCATGATCGAAAAACATGTTAATAATATGTTAATCCCTTACAAGGTATTTTTACACTTCTGGGCTCTCCCACAAAGAAAGGATATGGAAAGCAAGTGTTATCTCGTGGAAATTGGAATTGCGGCCCAGAGGCATAAAGTTATTTGAAGAATATTTCACAGCAGGTGAAATATTATCTTAGCACATGTTCCAAGACTTGCTGTTTTTTAGAGACAAGAGAGCTCTTGCCAAAAGGCACACTTCCAACAGCCCCTGTGATATGCACACATGTGCCAGCCCATATGGGAGAAGGAAGAAATACTTTAGGAAGTTAATAAGCAAAATCACTCTATGTTTTGGAAAAGCTGAGGTCCTTGAATGAGACAAATCCTGACCCAAAGTCAGGCTCATCTTTGCTCTTAGCCACAGACCCACATGCCTTCTACAGAAGTTCAGAATTGGCACTGGAGCAATGTGCTAGAAGAAAGGCACCGAGTGGGCAACCTGGACCTGCTCACCCACCAGCATATCATTTGTGGCTTCAGGTAATCATAGTGATATGAAGGAGGAGCCCAACCCTTGGTCTCTCAGAGATCCTTATTCACTTCTTCCTTTCATAATGCCTAGGCTGTAGCCCAGGGCATGCCCGGTCCCTAAGGGTTTTGCCCATTCAGAGACAAGAGAAGAAAAATGAATGAAAATGTCAGCTAAGCCTGCATCTCACCGAGTAAGCAGGGGGGGGGGGGGGGCTTGCCAGGAGCATCAACGTGGCATCCTACTTCATTGACACCTATTCAAGAACACCCAGAATCTCTCCGCTGAAGAGGTCACAGAGGTGAACAGTACCCCGCCCACATCCCTATCAAACGTCCCCTCTCCCGCATCACTAAGGAGACCTGATTTCCAGGTGAGCCCTGGGACTGTTCCTTATGTGTTTTCACAATTCAGGGCTGTTGTGAGTTAGCACATCTACCCAGTGTTGTGAACACAAGACAGTTGGTGGAGTAATAAGAGGGTTGTCTGTGGAAATCTGAATAGATAAGGAAGGGAGAACCTGCCTGACTTAGAAAAAAAAATTTTTTTCTCCATCCCATGGCATGGATGGGGAAAGCAGAAGGGAAGAAAAGGGAAGGAGACTAGATCTGGCAAGATTCTTTCCTAATGTCCCTTAAACTCACTCTGGCTTAGAGTATCTGCTTCCAACACAGGAAAATGCAAGATCGCCAAGAAGTGTCTTGGCAAACTGAGGTAGCCGCAAAGGAAAAAAAAAAAGAAGAAAGAAAGAAAAAAGAAAAAACAAACAAACAAGACTTTTGTACTTCACTCTATGAGAATAGGAAGGGAGAACACAATCTTGGCACAATTTCAGAAAAGGAAGAAATTTGAAGGTAGAGTTGAATATGGGCTGGGGTGAGGATTTACAAGCAAGACACCAACTGAAAGTATTTTTTAGCAACAACCATGAAGGTCCCTCTGAGTCACTTCATTGCTTCTGGATCTTCTGTTCTGAGTGCTTCTGGAAGTTTGGGCATGGAATTAAAGAGACTTGCATTGAGGGGGAGGTGCAAAATCAAAGTGCAACTGAGCTAGTTACCAAACAAGCTCCCTCAGGCACCTATTGGTCAAGCTTCACCACAAGAAACATCACTGAGAAACTCTAAACACCATCGCTGACACTAGAAACAGCATAATAGTTCCCTGGGGCAAACAGTTAAGTGGCCATCTGCATGGCCAGGAGATACCACACACCAGAGCAGGGGAAATGGAAAGCACTCACCTGTTCTGGTCCCTGGAAACAGATGCGGCAGAGGGGAGTCCTCATACCACTGTCCAAGCTACTTCCTAGAGAGTAGCAGTCCTCAGCTTTCTCCTTACAGAATTCCTCAGAGGAAGTACTGCTGAGCAGGCAGGCAGGTGGCCCTGTGGCTGGGCCATCCCAGTCATCTTCCACAGAAGGAGGCAAAGGTGGTGGAGGCGGCAGAGGAGGGGTCTCCCTTCCCACCGCTTCTCGAGGGCCCCTCCAGCCTGCCCACCCCCCGGCCCCCAGAGCCGGAAGGGTGTTGTTGTTGGCCGCCCCACCAGGGAGCTGGGGGTCACCGTGCATGGGCAGGGGCGCTGGAGGGGGGCGCCTCAGCAGGAAAACCTTCAGGTCATTGAAGAGCATTCGGCAGCGGCACTTGAGGAGACCCTGGTGGCGCAACATCTGGGGAGCTGGGGTGCACAATCCACAGCAGCAGCACCACAGCAGCCCACCCAGGGGCATGAGCATGTGATGGGGAAGCAGAGGACTGAAGAGGGGCAGCTGGAGTCTTTGAAGAGGTGGATAGGGTGGGGCTTTGGGGTCCACAGTGTTTCTGTGTTGTGGAAGGATCTCCTTTCTTATTGGCTCTTCTTATAACCCCTCCACGCAGCAAATAAATTACCTCCTCGACTGACAACTGTGAGTCAATGATTCTGAACGCTCCTAAGAAAATGCAAAGTTTAAAAAAAAAAAAAAAAAAGAAAAGTTTTTCTTGCCCTGGCAGCCCCACCCCAACCTCAGACTTAATTCTGGCTGTTGTCTCTTTTCTGTCTTTCACCCCAGAGGACTACTAGAAGCAGAGCAATAGAAGAAGCATGGATGTATGGCCAAGGTCTAATTGTTAAAAGTTCCCAAGGAAAAGATTGAGAGATTCTTCCCAAATCTCTAGGCTGTGGTAAATCTCCTTTACATAAAAGGGTGGAGAAGATTATAACACAAATTTGGAGCAGCTAGGTCTGGGCTTAGGGAAACCAGCTCAGTGAAGATTGCACGTGAGAGAGAGAGAGAAAAGATAGGCTTCCTCAGGTAGTAAGAAGTGGTTGGGGGAAGGCAAGATGGGGGAGGGGGGCAGAGAAGGTTAGGAGAAGTTCTGATTCTCTTGGGCAGAAAACTGGGGCAATTAACCCCCAGTAGCACCAGAGTAGCTTTTAAGAAAGGGATTGGGAGACTGGTTGCAGGTGAAACTGGGCAAAGAGCTTGTGCTTGGCGTATGCAGCCAAAAGGCTACACAGAAGAGGTGGGTATAGGGCGGTGGACGAGAAAAGGATGTAGGAAAAAAAGATCCTTAACCCTCGAAGGGCTGCTTCCTTCCAGAGCCTAAGGTCCTGAATAGAGGGAGGGTGTATTTGGGAGAGGGAAGGTGATGGAACAGAGAAAGGAGGTGGAGAAGAGGGGCGTGGGGAGGGGACAGGAGAAAGGAATAGTTACATGATCTCAGCCCCCAGCCCACCCCAGCTGCAGTCTGTAAATCGGAGGCCCCTCCCCTTGGTTCCATCAAAGGTCCCTTCAGGCGAGGTTCCAGGGCTGGAAGACAGGCAGGTCCGGGCTGGAAAGTGGCCTCGCTTTCTCCTCCTCCTCGTCCTCTTCGGGGTCGCTGTCGTCGTCGTCCTCCTCCTCCTCCTGCTGTGGGTCTGCACGCGACCGGCGCTGCTGCTGTGGCGGCAGAAGCGACCGCTGATCGGCGTCCTGGTGTCTCCCCGGCGGGGGCTGCTCCGGCTGGTCCTCTGGCGGCTGCTGCCCGCGGTCCAGCGTGGTCGCGACTCCAGGCTTCATGATCCTCCTCCTCTTCCTTCCCGGGGGGCCGGCCCTGGGCCCCCGCTCCCGGGCAGTGCTGCCATGCAACCAGAGACAAGGCAGGCGCGTGGGGGTAGGGGCGGTGGGGAAGTGATGGGGGAGAATTAAAAAAAAATAATAATAATACTAATGGAACAATTCAGTTCTCAGATAATCAGGAAAGAGTGCTTCTGGCGGGTGGGGGCGGAGGAGGGCGACTGCCAGGTCCTGTCGGCAGCTCTGCCCCCGCTCCCCCACCTAGGGCGGCCTCGGCCGGCTCTCTGCTCCCACCCCCACGCCGCCCCTCCCTCCTCCGGCTGCCTCTGGCTGGCTGGGCTCGCTGCTGTTGCTACCTCTCCTCGCAGATGCAGATGCACGGAGGTAAGGCTGGTTGGCGGTGTCAGCCGAAGGTGGGGACGGGGAACAGAGACGGTGTGGCCGAGATGGTCAGGCAGGCGGCACTTGGCTCCAGCTTGGTCCTGGAGACTCCTCAGAACCGTATATAAATTTATCTCTTAGAAAAGCCGAAAAGGAAGCAAATCAGATTCCAGCCTGCTGCCAGGTGTTGTCTTCCGCCGTTGCTCAGCACCCGCCGCCGCGACTGCTGCCCCCCTGGCTCAGTTCCCAAAGGGGTGGTGCTGGAAGGGAGGTGCCGGGGCGGTAGGCTGACGGTCCGAGGACTGGAAACAAGCTTCTCGGAGCGGAGAAGGCACCCGGCGACTTCCACCCGCGCGGCCGGGGAAGCCGCGGCTGCGTTCAGCACCTGGGTGAGTGGACAGCTCCCACCCAGACCCCGCGCGCGTCACGCTAGTGGGGGCCTGACGCAGACGCCGCGGAGGGATGGAGGAGGGAAAAGGAGATGAGAGCGAAAGAGACCGAGCCAGAGGAGGAGAGGGAACTGTTTGATGGAAGAGGATCGGGGAGGAACCAGGGGAAAGGGAGGTAACGAAGAGAAGGAGGGATTTAGGAGAGGAGGGAGGAGGCAGTGAAGAGTGAAAGAGGCGGAATGGGAACTTGGACGGTGGAGTGATGCGCGTACTAACTCCCACATCTTCCCCCAGCTGGAAAGGATCCGGGTGGACAGTACTATTCATAGGCTGCCTGCTCACTGTACCTTCTCACCACTTAAACCTCAACACACAGACACCCGGCACAGCTGCCTCTTAACCAGAATCCGTGGTGCTCTTCACTACAAGCCCTTAAAGGAGATGCCACGTTGGAAGCTTTCGAAAAGATAAAGTTTTGTGACTTCCATATCGAAGCTGGGACCTGCTGGAGATTAAATCTCTCATGACTCAGACCTCATGAGAAAAGGGATTTAAACCTGCAAGCAACTTCACCTCCTAGAATTTAAACTGCAACGGGGAAGGATCTCTCTCTCTCTCTCTCTCTCTCTCTCTCTCTCTCTCTCTCTCTCTCTCCCTCTCTCTCCTTCCCTCCCTCCCCTCCCTCTCTCTCTGTTGTGTTTTGGGTTCATTTTGATCCCATATGCCTAAGCCAATGGCTTGAGGTGAGGTACATATTTGTTAATGACTTATGGCCACCATTATCACAATCAACTTCACTCCAAGCCACCATGTTCTTTCAGCTGTGAGTCATAAGAAACCAGGGCAATGATATAGCCTCATGCTAACCTATATCCCTAATTTCCCCCCATCTAAGTCTCCCACAGAGCCACCAGCAAGGAGAACTTTGAAATTGATTTGAATTTCCTCTACCTTTTCCTCCTCTGACTTGTATTGCCCTGCCCACCCTTCTGGTGGAATTTCTAATGAGCAGAAGAGTATCTCTAAATGCAAAGAACCCAAAAGAGAAGGAAATTTTTAAAAAGGCTGCATAAATACTCAGTGTTTACATCTGCAGACTTCGGACATTTATAATTTAGAATTTCTCTTTGCCCCCCCCACCCCACCCCCGTCACTCCTATAGGGTCACAGACTTAAGAGAACACACTCCAGTGAGTCATCAACACAGCTGAGCTAATTATGCTAATGCATTTAGAATTTCCAAAGCTATAGACAGAGTAGAATGTAAAATCACCACACCAGAATATCATTGGCATGAAGTTCAGCTCAATGAATCATAAGAAAACTGCCCCTTTTGTTGGTGTCTCCATGAATGATTCATTCCCTTGAGCCCTAGGGAGCAAAGGCCTATATCTAGGTCTTGGTCAACCAAGCGTGGCTGCTTGGCTAAATCATGTCCCAGCAGCTGACGTGATTGCCGAGATCCTGCTCAAAGTCAGGATTTGAAATTGATGCCAGGCCAGCAAGATGGTTCAGCAGGTGAAAGTGTTCACCATCAAGCCTGACCTACCCGAGTTCGATCCCAGGGATCCCTAGTGAAAAGAGAGATGTAGCTCCTGCAAGTTTTTCTCTGACCTCCATGTGTGTACCGTGGCACACACATGCTCCCCACACACACACACAATAAAGAAATAAATGTAATAAAAAGAATGCCACTGTTTTAATAACTATAAAGTAATGCTTAGATTATTGATATGTGTATGAACGCTGCTGCAAAATGAACTCTTTGAAAGCATCTATACTCTACACCACCCTGGATCTGCCTCTGGCACTGTGGAGGTCACTCTCTATAAAACTGACCTCATCACGTGTTTGTTTCCCTTCATCTGACTTAGAGCTCCTTGAATGGACCAGTGTCTGTATTTTTATCAGCAGCTCCTGAAGTCCAGCTGGTGATCAGGGAAAGGACTGAGCAGATCGATGGCCCTTTTTCAGTGAAGCTATGTCTTTCTCCCCATCAGTGTGAACACGACTGAGTACCCGTCGCACCTAAAATTGAGTTTTAAGGTTTTATCCCCATGAAATGCTCATTCCAATCGTGTTGTGTAGTAAAATGCGGCGGGAGGTGGGAGATTTGGAGCCTCTATGTTCAGACTGTTTTGCGCCACCCTGCCCCTGCACGTGAAAGATATCTGTAAACAGAAAGCTGCTAATGATGGGGGCGGGGACACAACTGGATTGTCTCTAGAAAGACAGATCCTTGTGAATTCTGTTTAGAATGTAAAACAAATCCTGAAGAACATCTCACTGAATTAGACTCCCTCTATGTTACTGCTGAATCATGAGCCTCGAGAGGAAAAACAACCATAAAGAAAATGTTAAATCAATGGGTCTCCATTTAAACATTCAGAAAACATTTACTGAACACCAATCATAGGTAAGGAATGGTGTTGGAAGACACAGGAACACAAAAATGAATTGGTTAGAATGGCATCCCCGGGAGTCCCATACTAGAAATACACCCATAATCATAATGTAAGGCACACAATAAGCGCTACCCAAGTATAAAAAGTTTCAGGAGTGTTCAGGATAGGGAGGTAATACCTACAGTTTAGCAGGGATTAGAAGAGGTGGGAAGAGGCTGGGGGAGGTGGGGATGGGTGCCAGAGTTCTGGGAAAGCCTTTTTCAAGAAATGGCATCCAAACTGAGTTAAAAGATGTGGAATTCAGAAGAAGAAAGTAATTCTTGGCAACAGGAACACACTACGTCAGCCCTTTCATTCGGCTGAGCTGGAAGCAGCTAAATGTAAAGGCGGAAAGGTGAATGGCGCCAGATTCCAGAAGGTTCTAAATGCCTCACTGTGAGAAGATTTACTCATTGACCAGGTACTTGTTTTAATGGCTTTAAAGATTTGGAACCGAAGGTGAAGGGCAAAAATAAACTTTATCGCTGAGCAGGTTAATTAACTGGATGGGATTTCATTACTAACAGGTAGGAAGCAATCAATATTTTTCATTTCACGCCAGAAAGTTCTCAGCTCCTTAATGGATTTATTCTTTTAAATGAGGTTGTTTTCAGATATATTTCAATGCACACAAAGATGCTGGGGTCATATGAATTTCAAGAAGAGTGAAGGAATGAGAGGTTCGTGGAATAGTCTAGGAAGAAATATTAGGACCCCCAGAGATCCAAAATGACTCATTTGAGAGGCTGCAGTGCTTAATTCTCTGAACAGGGAAGCTCCAAGGGCCTCCAGCCTGGCTGTTGTTTCTTATTTGCCTAGACAGAGTGTGCCAAAGACAGAGGAGGTTTTACAGGAATTGGAGCGCTCTGAGCACTAGATCACACAGCAAATGAGTATTATACATAATTCATCCGTATTCTAATCTTTCCTATAATTTGTTTTCCAAATTTTGCAATATCTTCATTGACTGTCTTCAAATGCATAATAATTGGCAGAATTTCTATTAATATGCAAATTATTAACATCTATTCTATACAGGACCAGACACCCTCTTCATAGGTACTTAGAATACTCATTTAAAAATAGGAATTCTTGGGACCAGCAAGATGGCCTAGGAGGTAAAGTGTTTACTGCATAAGCCTGACAACGTGAGTTCAACCCCTGGAATCCATGTAAAGGTGTCCTCTGATACGCATGCATGTACCGTTCACATATGTACCCGCGCATCACACATGCACACAGAGGGGAGAGAGAAAGAATAATTTAAGAAATAAAAACACAGAAACTCTTGGAGCTGGAGAAAAGGATCCGGGAGAGATTTAGAGCACTTTTTGTTCCTGCAGAGGACTCGGACTCAGTTCCCTGCACCCACACGGTGGCTTACAACCATCCATAACTCCAGTTCCAAGGGATTCAATACCTTCTTCTGGCCTCCCCAGACACCATGCGTGCACATGAAATACACACATATATACGTGCAGCACAACACTCGTGTGCATAAAATAAACAGATCTAAAAAAAATTAAAGAAAAACAGATGAACTCTCCCTGGGCATGGCGGCACACGTTTGTGATCCCAGTACCTGAAAAGTGGAGGCAGGCCTGTGAGTTCATGACCATCCAGGGCTACATAGAACATAGTGTCAGGAAGAAAGGGGGGGGGGTAAGGGAGGAAGTGGGGAGGAAAGGGAGGGATGGAAAAAGAGAGATAGGAGAGAGGGAGGAAGTGAGGAAGAAAAAATTCGTAGAGACTACTTCCAAATCTACTGAAAAAGAATTTCTTGCAGAGCAACCTAG